AAATGATAATGTGCAATCCGGTCGGACCTAGCTGCCGGTTACCTCGCCTCTGACGGAGTTGAAGGTGCCTGAAACAAGGAAGAAGCTGGGGATTTCCGGGGAGGAACCTGGTTGGAACACTCCAAAGCTCAAATTAATGCTCTAGAGAAGGCAAGGGAAATAATGGATTTCGAGACCAGAAAGCGCAAAATATCACATACCTCTTTCTCTTGGGGGAGGAAGGCCTCTTATAGCCACCTGGTGCACTTACTCCCAAATTTCTGCTAAGTCAGGCATAACCGCCATTGTCCTCTCTGTCAGGGCCGTCTCTGCCATGACTGAGATGGCGGTGGCAAGTGGTTGTTACGGCGTGATTGCCGTCTGTTAGACCCAGATCAGTCAGACGTGCTGCCTCAGAGTACGAATGTCAGATATGGTTTCACAGTCGCGCGACCTGGAGCCGAGGTGCCGGAGTGGTGCGCGAGGTGAAGTCTTGAGCTCGGATGAGCAGATCCTACTGTCCCGAAGTGCTGGCACATGATTCGAACTGGCTCGAGGTGGGCTGGCCCCGGCCTTGCCCCTTGCGGGCTTCGTTGTTAGCCTCGGAATCCTTTAGGGAGAGCTCGGGTTTCTTTTTGGGGAGCTTGGGAACTCGAGCCTCTCTTTGAGGAGCTCGGGAGTTCGGGCCTCTCTTCGAGGAGCTCGGGAGTTCGGGCCTCTCTTCGAGGAGCTCGGGAGTTCGGACCTCTCTTCGGGATATGGCCATCCTAAGTCATCGTGCCGAGTTGACGTTCCTGCTAGGTCATCTTGTCTTCTTCCATGTATCGCACAGCCAAGGGGTCGGGCCAAATCTACCTCCATCATTGACCATTGAAACCTTGTTATTCGATGAAGGTTCAAAGTCTAATCACTAAAACCTTGTTCTCTGGCGAAGGTTTGAAGTCTGACCATTGAAACCTTGTTCTTAGCAACCAAACACAGGGCGATAGGACTGAGATAATAAAATTTTCTCTTCCCATCCCATCCTTTCTCAACAACCAAACAAACCCTAAGGAAAACCAGCCAAGACAGGAGATTGGACTCGGACCCGGGTCGTGTATAACTGTATGTTCATAACAACTTTGTTTTTATTAAAAATTTATGAAATTAATTAACTATGTTTTCTTTTTCACCATTAGTTTTCAGTTAATATTAATTAAGTTGACTTGTAAAGGCCATGTTCCATGCATGCATTGTGCAAATGAAAGGTATGTTTAGATGATAAGATGGATATGAAGGATTTTGGTTTTGTAATTTCCTTCATAGTAATACTTGAAAGAAATAATAATATTAATAATAGTGTCAAGTAGTTTTCAGATGTCAACTTTGCAGTGATTACATCACTTGTTTGACATAAAGGCTCAGTTTGGAAAGAATATTTGTAGAGTATAAAACCTTGTATTTTATATTATTTGTATGTATTTGTATTGTGTATTCATATTTTTTTCAAATTGGGCTTGGCGTCATAAGATTTCTGTATTTGCACTTAAAGAAATCTTCACATTGGTTTCTGGGTTCTTAAATTTTTGTGCAGAAAGCGATTTCAGAAACACCATTTGTTTCTCTAATGGGGGTGGAGTTGTGGGTCAATTCATATGTAGGCCCGTCTGATAAAGGAACATGCCCAACCATTAATTTGGGCCTAGATTTTACAGGTTGCATATTTAGGAAAGGAGCCTTAATATGAGGGAGACAGGGTCTGTTTGGTTTATAGTCGGAATCAGAATCACATTTGGAATCAAAATCTGTTGGAATCAGAATTGACCCATAATCTATTTGGTTTAATAAAATATCCAAATAAAAATTAGAATCAACTGTAATGGGATTTTATTTCAAAAGGAAAGAAAGGGAATGCCATTCCGGTTCTAATTCCACACCCTTTGACCCCGAATTCTAATGTTATACTCTGCAACCTGACCATCAATTTGGCCACATCAGAAAACCGGCAACTCACCGGAGGCTGACCCACTAATGCATGACCGAGACTTTTATAATTGAACTTGGGTTTTAGGGTTGTGGGCTGAGGTCCAATCAAAAGCAAATGCTCAACCACTCGAAGTTGCACCCCTACGCCACCTACCTAAAATGCCAACCCCTAGGCTCGAAGAGTGTTGGTTCGTGATTGATGGTCACAGGATATTCCGATTCCCAACAAAAATCTGTCTTGCCTCCGAGTGTGCTAATTTTCAAGACAACTCATGATTAAATCCAACTCTTGGTCTTGGCTGCTGCAGCAATTGCAGGAGGCACGTGTGCAGTCGGCAAAAGTAGATGGATTTGAGTGTGGTGGACCCAATTCCCAAAGCAACTGTCCGATAGAAAATTTTATGGACCGGACCGGATGTCAAACCACAAAGGGTCGTTCATGGTTCGATCGTTTCAATCAGTTGACATTATTGATATCATAATTTTGTTTTTATTTAAACACAAATGGGGGGAAAAAAGAAAGAGATTCCTCATCAATCCCAGTTCAAAAACGAGGCTGAATCTCTTACAAGAAATTTTATGCTCACGTGACATCTCACGGTTCATTCGATACATAGGGAATATCTCTCCCTATTAATTTAACGTGGGAGATCTGCCCAATGTGGGACTGGATTTTCATGATTTTACAGTATCGTGCAGAGTTTTTGTTCAATTGTTTACATGAAATCCAGTTGCCTCAAAAACTAATGTCAATCAGATTTTGACCAAAGCCAATAGGTGGTTTATTTTTAGGACTTGTTCGTTTTTTTTGGGTAAATAGTGACATGTAAGTTGAGATCACCGTTTGTCTATTCTAATGAAATTCCCATTGTTTTTACTAGTGAAGTGTTGTGAGATCTATTTAAATAAAAATTTTCACTAGGTATTTTTTTTGACAATTTATTTGAAAAAGTTTTATCCACCAGTTGCGTTTGTTTGTGGTGTAAATATAAAGCTATACCGGTGGAATTTAAGAACGGCAAGACCTCTTGGTGCAAATCGGCTTTTACACCCATTTTTACTCGTATGTGTTTAGATAATCGATGTAAAAGTAGCATTGCCCTTTTGCTCATGTTTGGAGAATATCCATTGGTGTAAATCTCCACCCCTCTTTTCTCTTTTCGCAGACCACCTAGTACAAAGCTTGAAGGTTGTTGGCGAGATGGCACAAGGTTCAGAGGCCTCGTCTTTGCAACCTATGTGATAGAGGGAACTACTATTTGCTCGTGTTCTATCGTGAGTGTCGTGCCTGCATTTTGGGTATAAGGAAATGATGCAAGTGAAGTGCTCATCTCCCCTCTAGTTGATATTGATGAGATGGTTTGACGATCATTCCTTTTCAGCCCAAAAAGAATATCAGTCATATGCAAGCACTTACCTCCACATCTCATCAATCTCAGCTCCACATTTGAGGTTCTAACAGCTTCTTTTTCGTGATGTCATACAATAACACCCAAGCCAAACCCTGATTGAACCATCAATTTGATCACCATTGTCAATGTGTGGGACAAGTATCAGCCACCTTTGTCGATGCCACAGCTCAACAACATTCTAATTTCTATATCTAATCATCTATCTTTTATATTTTATTTTTTATTTATTTAGATGACGTTCTTTCACATGGTAGAGTTGAGAAAAAGGTTTGTAAGATCTTCCTAAAAAAAAACCCAAAACCGAAACCCCCAATCATAATCCAGTAGTCTCTGTGTCTGGGGAATAGCACCCGACTCAAAATCCGCAAAAGGCCTTGAAGACAACCTTATTCCTTCCCCAAAAAAGGCTTCCAATTATCCTCTTGAACTGAGGCCTTGCAACGGAACCTTGAGAGTCCACCAATATGCAAGCGGTATTTTGTTTGATCGGCACCTTATAGATATGGCTTTGGATGGAGCAGCAGTGGCACCAGCGAAGAGACACCGTCATGGCATTGAGATGGAGTAGGAAGGAGATGGAGAAGAGATAGATTTTACGAGCGAGAGTACTTTTATTTCAATGGGAAAGCGAAGAGATTTTACATCGATTATTTTTTGATGCATTTTTTTTCACATCGATTATTACTATAAAAATCTCTCGAAAAGGAATTTTACACCGACCTTTGTTGGTATTATACATTCCATCCAAACAGCCATAAAACTGGACCAAAGTATAATATTACACTGATTCGACATTTAGCAAACAAACACAGCCTAAGTGGATTTTTTTTTTAGCTCGAAGGGAGTATACAACGGGAAGTCTCCACTACAATCAGAGGATACCTTACCAACCAATCGGTTGCATTTGGAAGGAGTACAAATACAAATATGTAGAGCATAAAACCTTATATTTTATATTATTTTGTATATATTTGTATTTCCACTCCTTCCAAACTGAGCCTAAATGGATAAATTACTTATTCAGGGGAAACGGGCCAAATTGTGTAAGACTAAAATATCCATCCTAGAAGAAAAAAAAAAAATAAAAATCCCTCTAAGAATTAGTTCAATTATTCAACTAATACTTTTTACCCGAAAAACATGAATAAATTATACTTGGATGGATAACATTTTCCCATATAAGTTACCTACCTGGATAAAAATAAAGGAGGCCTTGAGTGTATCAATTACCCGAATAAACATCACCCTCGGTCAAAATATAAATTTATGCATGGACATGAGAAGGAAGCATACCGGACAAGTTTTACCTAAAAATACAATTTATCCACGTAAACACACTTAACAGGTATCAAAAGCGGGGCATTAGGAACGGAAGGGATCCAGTTCCGATTGAACTTGGTTCAACAGCCGCTTTGATCCGGTTTTGTTGGATATGACACGAATCCCGGTCCTTCTAAAGAAGGAAAAACCAGTGGTGACATGCTGATTGATCATTGTGTAATGGACTTCTGGAGTGAAAGTTTTGAGGTCTGGCGACATTCAACAAGAGGAACTCTTCTGGTTCCCTATCCCTCCCTCCCTCCAGAGACGGTGGTCGCAGCTTCGCAGTTGAATACCTGAGTTTAGTCGCCGAACTTCTTGCCATTCCAGAATTAAATTCAGTTTAAAGAAGCCAAATAGACCTTCAAATATCAAAAAGCTAAAAGCTAAATGCTAACATTGTAGCATCATCCATTACACAGCTGACATCCTATCAGCAGTCCCTACTCCCTCCCTGTACACCTTCCTCTCATCCTAATCCCCTATCCTATCAAATTTCACTACCCCACAAAATTAAATTAAATTTGATGATTCAAGAGAAACAAAAAAAGAAAATTAAAAAAAAAAATCTTCTCCCGATATCTACTCTACTCCATTTTGTCTCGATTGGAGAGAGAAGAAAACCTCAGAAAAAGACATAAATAAATGTCTAAAAAAGGATATCTCTCCCTCGTACATTCGGTGGCTTTTCAGTCGGGGGGCTATTCGTCTTCCTTTCTGATGCTTCTTCCCATGTTTCCCCCGACGAATTCCCACCACCTCCGAATGACGCGGCCGCAGCTGCCACATCAAGCCCATCACCAATCGACGTGATCAGAGTCGAGAGCCTACCCGTTGGACTACCGCCACCACCCATACCAAGCCCAAGAAGATCGAGCGTAGTAGGCTTCGGCCCAAACATCGATGACTGGCCCATCATCAATTCCGTCAACCCGTTTGATCCTTCGCTAGGTAGTCCAAGACCAAGACCAGCAGCCAATGGTGCCGCCTCTCCCTCCATTCTTTGATCCCAACGCAAGTTCTCTTGCTGTCCGGACGAAGACGATACGGTTATACCCAACCCACGTAGCAATGACGCATTACTGGCGGTAGCACCCATCTGTGCTGCTTTCTGCAGCAGCGCGGTGGCGGACATTGCCGGTTGCGGAGGTGGAGCATATTGCCGACGCTCTGCCCCGGTTTGAGCAAAGAGTGAGGAGCCGTTGTTGGATGAAAGACAGAGCGACGTGGGCTCTAGAGCAGACGCCGACGAGAGGGAGGTCGAACGCTCCGAGCGTGCCATGGCACAAATTAATTCTGAAAAGGTTGACGTTTGCGGCTGCAAGTTTCCTGGGGCAGCCGTGGAAACGAATAGGCTTGCAAATACGCTACTGCTGCTACTGCCGTTACTGCTTGAGGTGCTACTGTTTCCGTTTAAGCAGGTTGCCGGTGACGAATGGTTTAAAATACCGGTCGAATTTTCCGGCAACTCTGAAACAAAATACACGAGAAGGTAATTGAGTTACGGCTTGTCCAATAGAGGGAGGAAGAAAGAGAGATAGAAAGCAAAGCTTTTTGTTTTCAACTTTTGATCAATAACCGATCAAAAATTTTATCTTTCTTTTACTTTTCTCTTTATTTAAGAAATGGTCGAATTAAAAAGAGAGCCAATCATGGCTTCCTTTCCTTCAAATCCTCATTTCTTCTGCTTTCTTTGAGTTTCTTTATCGATTGCAGAGATTGAATCAACCGTCCGGAACACGAAATCCTCCGGAAAGTTTTCTGAGAGCTTTACCAGAAAGCCCATACCCACTCTCTTATAATCTCGAATAATAATCTTTATTTTTTTGGTAAATCTCAATACTAAGTTGCTTGTTCCAATCTTCTCTTTCTTTTGTTTTATTTGATTAATTGCTCTCATCTAATCTTCAGATCTCCTATGAAAACATACAACACGATCTCCTATGAAAACATACAACACTATCTCCCAAGGAAAACAAGATCAATACAAGACAAAATATATAAAAAAAATCCAAGGCACAGGATAGGAGTTTCTTTTTCCTTATTTTTCCCCCTAAAACAAACAAATCAGATCCGACAAAAACTAAGTAAGAAGACTGGAAGTCACATAACTTCCCGTTCTTGACCGTTCTTTTACCTGGATTTTGAATTGGCAAAGCCATAGAAACTACAGCAGATGAAGCAGGAGGAGGCGTAGTAGTGACGATCGGAAGTTTAGGATCCTCTTCCGAATTCGAATTGGGAACCGTCTGAGCTCTCGCGCTCTCCTCCGCCAACGCATCGCAGAAAGCCCTGTGAGTGATAAAGCTATCTCGCCTTCAATAACAAACGAATAAATAAACAGGAACAGCGTCAGCACCACCATCAAAGCCGGAAGTTGTAAAGAGATGAATTAAGGAAGAGAAAAGAAACCTAGAAAACAAAGTTCCGCAATCGCATCTGTATTCTCTGGTTCCGCATGTCTTCGAATGCGCCTTCCAATCGGACTGGACGGCGTATTTCTTCGAACACTTGTCGCATTTCCATTTTTTCTCTCCATGCTTCCTACAGAAATGCTTCTTTATTCCCGTAAGATCGCCCAAAGCTCTTGACGGATCGTGATGAACACATGAAGTCTCGGGACAGACATACACTCGCTTACGAACTTCCTTGCTCGATCGCTGCCTGAGCTTCCAAGGAAGATTGTGTCCTCGGCGGTGAAGTTGCAAATTTTGATCTCGTTGGAACCCCTTATTGCAGATCTCGCACACGAATCTATTCGTTGCCATTAGGGTTTTTGGCGACAGAGCGATCACCTCCGCTTCTGGATCTGGAAGCCAAATAAAAAATAGAATGAAGAAAGAAACATGGCAAAGGGATGCAATTTTTTATATTAATTAGATGTTTATCTTTAATCTTACCCGGAGTTCCAGGAAGATTGCGCTTTTTCTTTATTGTCGTCGACGGCGGAGCTGCTTGGTTGCCAGACGAAGACGCACTAGCTTCTGCTGAAGCTGTAGAAACAGTAACGGCGGACGTATTCTCCAACTCCACAGGCATGTTTGTCAAAATTCTAGAATTCTTAGAAAAACAGGCTACGGCAGAATCTGGAATTCGATGTTTTTTCGTTTTTTTCTTCAAGCGGAAGAATAGAAAAGGAACTTCAATACGTAACCTATCCTCCTAAGGTTTCTTTTCAGCTCTTAAGTCTTATCTACCGGTTAGAAACTCTGATATCTCCACCTACCAATTCCGATATGTCTCCGGCAAGTAATCTAACATAAACCAGAGCTTCAACGACCATTCAAATCGCCGTTAAACTCGAAATACTTACCGGGGAAATACAAGAAGCAGAGCAGAAGAAGCTAATAAGGTCCCACTTAAACCCAAAATAACGGACATCGAAAACTAGCACCACTTGTCTCCGGCCACAGTAATCTGATCCAGATTCCAGCCACAGATATCGAGTCAGACCTGTCGGAATCCTATGCCTACCATAGAAAAATATATATCCTGAAAACAACCAAATCACCAAACAAGAAGGTAAAATACTTGTGAAACTTTATCAGGTTCTAACATTTTTCATAGCAGAAATCTAGCCGTTTTACCACGGCGTACGAGAAAGCGAAACACTTCAACGAATAATCCGATATTCCGGGGAACCAATCTACGTAACAAGACCAATTCGGTTGCGTCGGTGTGATTGCCGGACATGGAGTACAGACACTCGCTGCGGGTTGCGGGGCGGAGGAGCACTGAGCAGCGTTATGTTATGAATCGTCTCTCTCTCTCTCTCTCTCGTCTTTCTCTTCCCTTTTGAAGGAAGAAAATAAATAAATAAATAAATAAAGCGGCGCTAAGTAAACTGTGGTTAAAGTTAGACCGAACTACGGCATTAACCATGGTTAAAGAAAAGCCAGTACAGTATCCAAGTTTTCTTCCCATGTGTGAGCTGGTTTAATCTTTTTCCCTCCACGTGTCGCATAAAGTTGGGGTCTGGGCTTTCAAACATCTGTCGGAAGAGATAGGACTGTTTAGTAATAAGTGGGGCCCCCTACTCGTTGTCGTGTAGTAGACTTAACAATTAAAGTGTGGTTTGTTTAAAGTGAAACTTAAAAAGTGAATATATGTTCCTCATCTTCTTTTCTTTTTTACCGCCACATGCGAAATTATGATTCAATTGAAATGACAATAATGCCACTGAGGTAATAATCCAAGAAGTTAATTATTTTGTCAGAACTTGCCGTGGCTCCCCTGTGAGCTGAAAGRGATATCACTATATCAGACAGATCATATCATTTGGGTTAAGTTGGTAACGTAGATAAATGAAGCCAGTAAATTTCCGAAAATAACCCTGGAAACCAAAAAGATGGGGAGCTGTCTTGCTCTTGCGCTTTGGAGCACGTTTTGGATATTTTGTAAACGCTAGACGGGCTACGATACTAATGATTTCTATGTTGTGATTGGGGCCGTTTTAGTTTGGTATCGTCGAGTTTTAAGTACCGATACATAAGTGGAAAGATTTGTTTGTTTTTTTATATTTTTATATTTTCCGAGAAGAAAAGAAAGGAGAGACGAAAAGAAAAGGTAAAGGCACTTTTGTTTTTTACGGAGCCTGCCTACCGCTACGTACGGTACCGATATCGACATGTACACAAAGGCGTTCGTCTTTTTCATTGTTTATAGCAAGCAGCAGGGTGCGCAAAGCGAGGTAGAGGTGTAGAGGAGGGTAGTTCTGACTTTTCATTTAAAAGAATCATGACACGAGATTTCTCGTTTTTGGACGAGTTTCGATCCTCTACAGTTGTACGCGTAATGCTGGGCCGTCATCAAGACACGCCACGTCAGCTCATTACACGAGTGTCACGCATCAGTCTAATGTGGCACATCATGATTGGCCCGGTTCGTCCGGAAACCGTACAGCATTCGGTGGGTGGCAACGTTCAGGCCCACATCCTCAAATGGGCTGACAGAAGATACAAATTTTCGTGCTGGAGCCCGGAAGGAGTTTGAACGAAAAACTGATGATGCATGATCGTGTGCTGTTGAGATGCTGATCCAAAAGTGCAAAGTGATCTCATCACTCAACAGTGGTGATTATGGGCTGCATATAAATGGATTGGATTTGTTTGTTTCAATTTCTATCAATTAGTAGAATTAGTTTGAATATTGTATATTTATTGAACTTTAGATATAATTTTAAATACAACGGATTGGATTGGTGAAACAAGATTCTCGTAACCGATCCGTTAGTTAAGATAAGACATAAATGATGATGATGATGATTGCATTAAGTCATAGATTCAAGACGTTATTTTTAAGTCATTAGTCATTGCAATTCTTATTTTATTTGTTCAAGTCATTAGTCATAGATTCAAGACATAAGCTGTTTCTGCCATGTCAGTTCTTAAATTATGAACATTTGAATCATTTTTTATAGGAACATCTGTTTGTTTGTTCCAGCCATTTCTTACTACTTCAATTCGTGTTCCTTTTGATCTGTTCTTAGCCTTTTTGGTCACAAGTGCGGCTCAGTTTGTTAATATTATATAATATTTTGATTTAAATTTGACGAGTAACATTCAATTTAAGATCCAAGTATATCCAATTCAATCCAATTCATTTGCAGTCCCACAATGCTTTGTTTGGATTTATCAGTATTGACACCCAATTGCAAACTTGGGTCCTATTAGGAAAGAAAAAGTACATTTTGTCACCGGAGGCCCATGCCAATAAGATTTCCTTCTGATCGTAGTGGAGACTTAAGATCGAATCCCACTTGCATTTGGATTGGGGGATAGCCAATCAAGAGTATATTTGGTTTGATAAAAAATAAGAAAAAGAAACAAAAAAATTGTAATAAAATTGTCAAATTTCAATATAAATTCTGCAAAATTGTCTTTAAGAACTCTCAGTGGAGTTGTAGAGACTAGAGACCTTAGCTACGAAGGTTCTCAGGTTTCACGAGGACCTAAACTCTTAAAAGTCTGTTAAAAGAATGGAATTGCTTTAAACTCCGTTCAGAGTTCTGACCTAAACCACCACAACTTTGAAGGGTGGTTGTGGTGTTCTAACTTCAAAGAAAATTCCTACACAGGTACCGAGTAGGAAATCTGAAATCAGTCCCGTGCTTCAAATTTCAATTCAAGTAAAACGGTCTCAAACTCAAGGTAAATATAAAATTTCTTTTTCTGGGCGGTGATGATAAATCTGAAATATAATAAACAAGTTGGGACTTGGGATAATAAAGTAATAAATATAAGAAATTAAGAGGCTGAGTACAACCAAAAGGCCGGCATGTTTTTCTTGCACACTCCATCATTACTTTCATTGACCCTTTGTTTATATATAAATAATAAATGTATAGAAGACCTTGTCCCTTAATTTCATTATTTATTTATTTTTATTTCTGGTTTCTACTTACTATATATAAAAAAATTAAAAATAGGGAAGCGCTCTCAACTCTCAAGTAGTTCCATATTTGTTTAGTAATTAATTAGTCTTCGTTTATGCATGTACTGCCACAAATCTCCTCTTTGGAGTTTGTCTGGTTCAATGTCAACTTATATTATCATCTTCACCAAAACTTCAAAATTTTTAAATTTGGGTATGGTTTAATAATATCTAAAATTTATTTATCGCACAGAAAGACCCAAAAGCTTTATTCAAATTCTCCGAAATTTGGCGATTTGGGCTTTTAAGAAAATTCAACTTTAGTATCTTGAACTTTGGGGATAGTATCAAGTTGGTGCCTAAACTTTCAAACGTGTTATTATAGTATTTAAAGTTTAGAAAGTATCAAGTTGGTCCTTGCTGTTAATCAATCAACCGTTAGTTATCTGTTGAAAATGTCAAAACTACCTTTCAAAAGAAGACATTATTCATTGTCTTCTACCTTGATACTAAATTGGTTATCTTGAAAAAGAGAAAAAAAAAATAAAATATGATAAAGAGAAACAATAACTGAAAACAAATAAATAATTAGACAATAATGTACTTAAGATCTAAAGGTAGAAGACAATGATTTGTTTCTGTTACCCAAGGTTAAAAGACTAATTTTGGTTCTTCCAAACTCGTTGAAAGCCCTAAGGCGACACCAAAAAAATTGCCAAACGCCACCTTAATGATTGATTTCTTCATGGATGGACTTATTTTGGATTATGTCGCAAGTAGTGGGCATTAGAAAATTATTGGGACCCAACAAACTTGCCACGTGGAAAGATTCATGCATCGTAGTAGAAGACTTCAATTCCTTCCATGGATCTGTTTGATGGATTCTGTCATGAAACCTTGAACTGGGCAATTTTATCTTTTGGCAAGATTTCAAATGGCAGAACTACAAACTCTATTTACATCCGGCTCTGGTCTGTGGAGGAGCGCAGTGAGAAGCAGAAGTGAGAGAAGGCAACAAACCACACAACTACGATGACAAGACAGTGTCGAAAAGAAAGAGAAAACGATCGAGCAAAGAAAATCACCCATCGTCACTGATTTCACCAGGGAATCGATTATCTTTTTCTTTGGCCTTTTCCTAATAACCAGTCCGAATGGGAGATTCGGGATGCGTTTACAAACGTCTACCTCGAAACTAAATTCCTTGTTACAAATACTACTTTAACATATTATGTATATATATATTTGTAGCTTTTTTCTCTTTCTCACCTATCATGAGCACCATAAGTTCTTCTGCGTCTGTACTTCTTACCTTTCTTTCACCTCTTCTCTTATTTTTTCGTCACTCTCACTATCATGCTGTGGGGTCTTGTGCTTAGCTTATGAAAGTATGAGTCAATGAATACTTATTCATTCGAGTGATTTCTTCTCAAACTTTTCAAAAGGGGGAGAGAGAGACAGAGACTTTCGACAAGTTTCCATCTCTTCAACCATTTCATTGAGAGGAAAAGCGATCGAGTGTCATCCATTCTTACAAATATAATTGAAAGGGACAAAGGTAACTCAGAACAGCACTGTTTGGTGAAAGCGAGATATGTTGAAGTCCAGAGAGAAGTAAATTCTAAACAAACAAAAGAAATTGCACCCAGAAGGCCTATAAATTAGAAAATTAATGGAGTCAATTCGAAAGTTGCACACTTCCACCCTGGAATCCCACTCGATGCAAAGGTTGAAAAGTGAAAAGAGTACCAGAGCAATCAGCTGGCGACTTAATTAGTAAAAGAGAATCGTGTCCAGATGAGTTTAGGATGCAAGAATCTGCTACACGAATTCCTTCAAACCCCTCGAATAGGACCATGGTTAATCAGAAAAGTTGGGTTTGTGTAAACACAGTCGGTGAAGCTCTTTGAGACCACGCGCAGCACAACCTTTCCTAGAAGCAATATTGCAAGGCTATGGTGCCTTTAAATTCCACCAAGTAGAAAAAAGAAAAAGGTCAAATAGGAAAAAGTGCTTTTAGTTTCTGCTCTTAAATATATCAAAGTATTTCGCTAGCTTCTGCCTGGGAAGTGCTCTGAGGGGATGCTTTTCTGTGCAATCCGTGAGGCCTCAACTTGCTAGACATCCCTTTTCAACCATGAACGTCAACTACGTACCCATCTGGAAATGAACCTGAAACAAGCAAGTTTCGCTTTAGTCCTTTTGCAACCAGTTGGTTACCTGAGAGCTCCCATTCCCTTTAGTCTTTAGTCTGTTAACAGTTGTAGATCAGGATTAGGATAATGCAGAGATAAAGATAATCTCATTGTAATTTAATCATACCAGGATAAGTGTTTAGGATAATCACTCTACCTAGAGTTCTATCTTATCCTACTAATTGGTTCTTGTACTCTCACAGTTGTGATCATC